AATATTTCGAACAAATCCAACCTTAGACCGTTGAATACGTTCTCTGCACTTCTATATTTAGCACTACACCATTGTCGTTTAGAGAATATATCTTCAAACTTCAAATAGAAAAGTCATTCAGATTAACCGCCTGTGATTAGTGTTAGACTTAGATCGTCAATAACATTTGAATAAATTATCATATTTATTAAAAGAAACTCCAGCCATGTGAGCAACTTAAAATAATACGACTTATAACTTAAAACTAGCATCATAAATTATTATATTATTCAACTAATATCTTCAAAGTTACCGTTGAGCCAGCAGGTTCTAAACTATTCTACGTAAAATCTTAGGCCTAATATAACGTGTGTGGTTTTGGTTACATTCTGGCAAAATGTAGAGTAGACAGGTTTGCAGGCAAATATTTTTTATTTGCCATTTGTTTACTACATAGAACTTATTGGAAAACTTGTAGAAATCGAACAAATTATAAACAAAACAAAAACTGTTTAGAAAAAACAAGTAGAGATGGTCTGGTTACTGGTACCAGACGTGTACTTTCTTGCCTGAAACAAGTCTTGAGTATTCCAGAAATAATTTTACAAGTGAAGGGTATTGATATTATGGTTAATAAAGCTCTTACGTTGTGTATGGGTGGTTGGAGTTTCAGGGAAAATATTTTTCGAACAATATACGAAATATTTAAACAAAACTTTATGAATATTTTATGTAAAGTAGATGTCTCCTGTAGGCAACACAATTATTTCTTGAATAACTCTGATATATGACAAATGTCTTATTAGCTATTGGAGATCTTCTGAAACCTGAGGGGATTCTTTTTTCCTTTGGTGCCCAATAATTCTCTTTTAGAGTAGTCTTCTTATTTGAACAGCAAAAAACTAAATACTTAGCATTAAGTCTAAATGTATAATTCTTAAATTTATGAGATTGTCATGAAGGCTGGTATGTGATGAATCCGTCATCACACTTTTCACTGCGAGACATAGAGTGCATTGCAAAAGTCTTCATCTTTTGTTCTTTGTAATCATCAGAAATTGGTCTGAGGTTAATATAATAAATATTTTTGGACATTTGAGTTATGTTTTTCACAAGAAAATACCTAAAATTGATTCCCAGCACAGGGGGGTTAATGCTTTTGCAAGGCACTGTATGTCTCGTAATTTGAAACAATTTATGGCATAAGAGAAAAAATATAACTTTAACCCCCTCCCCCAAAAGAAACAAACAGATATATAAGCTGGTATGAGAAAGAAAAAATAACTAAAATATTGACAAATATTGATGTAAAACAGTATATGTAACCTCTGGCTCTATATGTCAAACAATGCTATTTGACTCATCAACTTTTATTTCAAACAGTTGTCACAAGTCATGTTGCTATAGAAATGTGGCAAAAGTCATTGGAAGTACCATGTTTTAAACAGTTTTAGATAATTTTCATCAGCAATTAGCAGATACACAAATGGTACTAAGTGGATGTTCCACACAAGATATAAATAGTAGTGACATCACAAATGTTATGTTGCCCAAAATTAAAGTTACCTAAGCAATCAGTAAATATTTCAGATTTTGATTACTTTAATAATATTTGGTGACCCTAGTGGTTTCTGAGAAACTTGTAATGGAAATATGTGCAAAGTGGACAGACAAGCATGACATACAGCACTCTCTTCCAGTACATCCTAACATACGTGGGGGACATGTTTGAATACTCCATTTAAATAATTTGCTAACAAATATAGTTTTTCAAATCTAGTATATTCAGCAGTGTATTGTTTAATTTAGAATGATTGCCCTATTAAGTTGTTGAGAAAATATAATAATGTCCTTGGTGAACTATCATATTTGATAAGATTGCATAAATTACAATGTTTTATTTGTTGAAATATTTAAATTACTACTTTCTGTTTTTAAATAAGTTTCCCGTATTTTCTCCTTTTAACTCGTTTTTTTCCATTACTAACTCATCTTGTTTCTTTGTTATAAGGTATCTTGAAAAAGCGTCTGTAAAGAATGAAATGAAACACATTTACTCTTTTTTAGCTGTTTACTTAAAATATTTACAAAAGACAAAGAAAAATAGTGAAAATAAAGCAAAATCTTAACTCAAAAAGTGGGAGAAATTGATCAAATTGAGTATATATAGTTGGTGTAAAGTATAGCATTTGTTCCATGATCCCCCGTTAGATTGTTATTAGTATATGTTACATAATGTAATATACATAATAAAAAATGCATGCTAATATTTTTAAGGGTCATACTTCTGTAAATGTTGACGGAAATTTCTGCTACTCTGAGTGTTCAGAGAAATTGTTACTATTAAAAACTAGACACCATATCTGGTTAAAGTTTTAAGACATCAGACACAATAATATTTTATCGTTCATGAAAATAGTTTCAACTTCTGTAACTTTCCTAAATTTTGATAGAATCTCTCAATATTGGAGCTTGTCTGAAATATTCTTCGCATACACTTTCAACCGTGGGGGCGTTATAATGTAGCAGTCAATCCGACTATTCGTTGGGAAAAGAGTAGCCAAAGAGTTGGCGGTGGGCGGTGATGACTAGCTGTCTTCCCTCTAGTCTTTCACTGCTAAATTAGGGACGACTGGCGCAGATAGGCCTCGTATATCTTTGCGTAAAATTCAAAATAAACAAACAAACAAACAATCTACCGCTGACGACGCGTTTTGCTCAATCCAGAACTCTTACACTATTTATATAATCTATTTGTTATAACAACGAATGTTATGGTGTGAACGCCTTTTCCAAACTGGCGAAGTATGATTATAATTAATTAATCTTTTCATAACACATGAGTCTTACGCCAGTTATATTTTTTAACACTGCATTCTTTATTTGGTTTCTTAAAGATTGAACGAAACATGACGTCAGCAATAGATATGGTGAAAACAGTGTGGGTGGAATGTTATTATTATAGACTGATCTATTTCTTAAGGGACTAGATAAAGAATGCTTTGTTAAAGATTTAACAAGTCTAATACTGATGTCTTATGTCAAGTACAATTAATTATGCTCATCCTTCGCCAGCATGGAAAAGGCGTTCACACATAACAATTGTTATTGTAATATATATATATCATAAATAGTATAATGAGCTCTGGATTAAGCGAAATGCATCATCGGATATGATACTGCGAACATAATATGGTTGGAATACTATCATTATATATTCTTCTAATTCTTGAAAATCTCTAAGGAGCTAGATAAATAATGCAGTATTAAAGATATAACAGGCCTAATACTAATGTCCTATGACAGGTATAATTCATTAATGTATAACTAATTTCAAAAGTAAAAATTTAGAAAGATATAGAAATCATATGTTACCAATAGTTAAACATATACTTACATAATCTGTTTGGTGGTGTATGTTCACTGCTATGTGTATCTTACTTCTGCGGTACCGCTTTCATATAAAAATACATTCTATACATTATATTTTCTTGACGAATTGTATTTTTGTTGGTTTAGTTGTCAGAAGTTATAAATAGATAGATAGCCTCTGATTTATAATGAAATTAAAATTGAATATGCTCTATAATGAATCTCATGTAAGATTATATGTCATTCGAAATTTGGTTATCATGAATGGAAACTAACATATAGAACAATTTCATTTAAATAAAGTCTGAGTCAATATTCTCTCTACTGACTTTACTCACTAATACACTCGCTTCTTTGCTAAGTTATCCCTCTATTGAAGAGATTTAAGAACTCTCAAGGTGAGTTTACTGCCTTTAGATGACTATTGTCACCAATAATAGGTGCTAAATAAACTATCCTAAACTATCACAATTCATATACAAGCATCGAATATCAAACTCAAATACACAATGTTCTGCTTGATATAAAGCGACCTACTTTTTTATTGCACTATATCAGTGGTGTTAAAAGTGACTTGTTCACTATCTCCTATTTTTCGTGATAAATAACTTTTTTGATGTATGTGAATTAACAAACATAGACAGAAAGACAGATAGGTAGGACGATAGACAGACAAGTAAAAAGAGAGGTAGGTGAAAAGACAAACGGACAGCTAGGTAGATAGATAAATAGAGAGAAGGCAAACATAAAGGCAGATAGATAGACAGAGAGACGAAAAGGCATATTATTAGACAGACAGATAAATAGACAGAACACATATAGCTAGATAAATAAACTGCTCTCTTAAAATGCTAGATACACCGATTATTAAAAATATAGCGTATTGTTTGTCTTTCAGTATTAAACTTAGTAGTTAACTACAGCTAAAATTCTGTGTTATGGCATTCATAGAATAAAATATCACTTGTTTATCTATGAAAAGTCTATCTTGTTTCTTTATAAAGATTATGTTTGACCTAAGATTTTAGCATTATACCTTAGAAAGTCGTGATAGAATCTGACGTTTGTGCTTATTGCTACAAGTTTTATACCCTGGTCTAGATTTAAACCGTGTGATATATGCAAACAATGGAACGTTTATTTGGTTTTAAATATAAGAAGGAAATAAAACAAAACAACATAAAACTCGAACTAGACAACAAACACGAAACGACATTGAAATTACTCGAAACCTTCTTATAATGTTAAGAAATTCTATTAACTCTCTTTTTTGTTATACTGAAATTACACATCATTAACACCAGGTTCTTCATGAACGTTTTTGCACGGGCTATTAAGAATTTGTTCGTGTTTATTCTGGCTTATCCACTGTCTGTACTTTCTCATAACTGTGTACATCCTTGTAAAGATAACTGCAGTATACATACTGGGAGAGTATACAACAATAACATGCGCAAAAATTTAACAGTATAATCCCGAAAGTCAGCTGTAAATGAATGTGTGGATGGAAATTCTTTATTGACCGTAAACAGTTTCGTCATACAAGCATTTACTTAATAGTGGGGTACGTCGCGTGAGCATGCGCTTCAAAAACGTATATAAATGGCTTTTCGAGTCATGAAATTCTCACCCTTAGGGTTTTCGTTTTGTGGTCTAGTCTAGAAAATTATCATGTCAGTAATGTTATTGTAGTTGATGCTTTATTCACGTGCATTTAAAATCTGCTCATAATCTAGAATCACAACGTTGTTTAGGTAGAACAAACATTTTTGTTGCTACTAGTTTCAAATCAAGAATGTTTTTTATCTAACTAACGATGTCATTGTGTTTAGATGCCGAAGACTTTATAAGAGCTTACATTGGAAGCTCTGAAGAGATGAACGTGTCCCAGGAACTTCGAGACCAGTCTTCGGTCTTTTTTCAGTCACTCAATTCCTCCTCATCCGTCTATCATGGCGTGTTCGGCCACTGGTGTGGATACTCAGCCATCACCTCTGAGATTCATTTCGTAGTCGGGTCCTTCTTACTTCTTATAGGAGTAGCAGGGATAGCTGGAAACGGTCTGGTCATTCTAGTTCTGACTAGGTAAAAAAAGCGACATATGTTATTTATATACGTACTAATCTACGTTTACAGTCTTCCAATTTGCTTTCCTAAGCTTATAAATTTTAATAATGGATTTTAAGAGGTTTTCTCTGTTGAAATCTGTTGAAGGGTCGAAATCACGATTAATGATGAAAAATTCCGGTGATAATACATGTTCTGTTTAAAAGTGATAATAATATGAAATCATAAAATATTTATTAAAATGTGATAACATGTCGCATTTGCATATATATATATATATATATACATGTTGTATATAGAAAAGGTGTGCAATTTGAGCTGAAATCATATAATTTTATCCTGATTGTTTCTTCAAAAAGTATTGGTCTTATGACAAAAGCTGCTTCAACATATAATCATCTATACGTTACTATTCAGTTTATGCTACAAGTGTTTTATATCCTTATTTATGAATCAGTAATGACATACTTCACGTTATAATTTCACTGGTGTTTGTTTTGTTTTGTTATAGTGCATGCGCCACAATGGACAACATGCGCTTTGTCCACTGCGTGGAATCGAACTCCAGATTTTAGTGTTATATTTCATGCTGCGTTGTAAGTCCGCAGACATACCGCTGTGCCACTGGGGGGCGTACTTAACATTGGAAGCAAAATGTTTTTTTTATTTGAATTATACATTCGATACACCGATGGAGATTTCACCGGTGAACCTTAAGTACCAGTAACAGAAACTAAAATTAAAATCATACTCGTATTGTTACTAAGGGCCAGTAACAGAAACTAAATTTAAAATCATATTCGTAGTGCTACTAAGTACCAGTAACAGAAACTAAAATTAAAATCATATTCGTAGTGCTACTAAGTAACAGTAACAGAAACTAAAATTAAAATCATATTCGTAGTGCTACTAAGTACCAGTAACAGAAACTAAAATTAAAATCATATTCGTAGTGCTACTAAGTACCAGTAACAGAAACTAAAATTAAAATCATACTCGTAGTGCTACTAAGTACCAGTAACAGAAACTAAAATTAAAATCATATTCGTAGTGCTACTAAGTACCAGTAACAGAAACTAAAATTAAAATCATACTCGTAGTGCTACTAAGTACCAGTAACAGAAACTAAAATCAAACCATCGTTGACACTTACAAACGTTCAAAACATTTCCCTAACCTTCTTTAATATTCTTCGTAGCTACAGAAACGTTGTTTCCCTTCTTGTATTCGTGTGCCATCACTATAAGGGATTAGAGTATACTAAACTTTATATATTATAAAGGCTACACTACATTTGTTGTCAAGAGTAAGTCATCATTACGTTTTCGAAATTCGACGGTTGACACTTATTTTCGCAGGTAGCATGCACACCGAAATGTGTATTAGGTTGGGCTACTGAAACATTTTTTAATGTGCAGCACACCAAAGTATGCTTACGGTAAGGTTGGTAACCGTTTTTTTGTTTAATTTTATGACATTAAATATCTGTAAGTGTTATATATCGAACTAAAATAATTATATAAGTTACGCAAATATTTGAAGTTATGTTGCTCCTTTATGTTAAGAATCTAAACAAATTTAAAACAAATTCAATAATTTGTTCGTTTGATTTAAGTTTAAAAATTGAGTGCATGTTAAAATCAATATTAAATGAAATAGCATTATTTATTCTATGTTTTTACAAGCGCTTTAAAATAATAAAATTCAACCATTGCTCAACTTTTTGTTTAAACTATAGGTTTAATTTCTTTTTAATGAAACCATGAAACGTCATATTGAGAAAAGAAATAAAAAGAATGAATTAAACGTATTAATTTATATTGTCCTATTTCTCCTTTACTGAGTAATCTCTTTCGAAACATTAAATCGAATCTACAAAAGAAAGGTTGGTTTCTGACGTATTTTGTTACCTTGGAAACACAAAGAAGAGACAAATGGTTAAAGACGTCATTCATTTTATGATAACCAATAGAGTCATTTGGAGATGTAGGTATCGATTTTGTATACTAATAACGTAATCGAATGTCAAGTTAAATTTTGCAGTTTAAGAAGTGATTAGATTTGTAATTCCATCTTTTCATTTCAATAGAGTAATATATGTCTGTCCTACAAGCTTTTTATAATCACTTAAATTTTTTATCATTAAGTTGAAAGAGGAGAATACGATTAATGCTTATTTGTTTGTTGGCAATTAAGTTCAAAACTACACAATGGGCTGTCTGTGCTCTGCCCACCACGGGTGTCGAAACCCGGTTTCTAGCGTTGTAAGTCCGCAGACATACCGCTGTGCAACTGGGGAGCACGATTAATGAGTTCATACAAGTTTTTAAAATGTTTCAATCAAGGAAATCCAGTTTAAATATTTCTTTGATGCTAAAGATTTTTTTCCTTTACCATCTAGTAAAAGTAGTGATAAAGTAGCATTTTATACGTTGAGGTTTGGTTATTCATCTCCTAAAAAATCAATAAAATTCCGTCCTTAACCATCCAATAAAAGTTTAGGAGTTTATCATTAACCATCAGAGAAAAAAAGAAAGAAATTCTGTTCTTAACCACCAGAAAAGGTTGGGATTGTGTTCTCAGCTAACTGAAATTGATGGGACTGGTAGACTAGATAACTCAATATTAAATTCAGTGCTAATCTCATCGTAACGAAGACATTATATACATTGGTGACCAATGGCCAATACCATCAACCTAAAATTTGTGTGTGTATTGAAACACACACAAAACATCACTCTATGGAACCACATGACAGATGAAGCTGTATGTGTTTATACAATAAGGTAATCCTTTTTGTTTGTTTGTTATGGATTTCGCGCAAAGTTACACGAGGGCTATCTGCGCTAGCCGTCCCTAATTTAGCAGTGTAAGACTAGAGGGAAGGCAGCTAGTCATCACCACCCACCACTAACTC